AAAGATGATAAGAGAGTGAGTAGCGTCAGTGCAGCGCTTTTAACCCATTCATGTGGGGCGTGAACCAAAGAGGGGGGCCCGAGCTTGTGCACCCAGTGTTCACAGCGGGGGCTGATCAGGCTGGCAAGTGAATTAATTTTAACTTGTGGGATTAATAAGCAAGTTAGATCTTATTTACTCACTCACTATGATTAATGTTGTTTATCAGATGACATATGTTATAGTTTCCCCTCATCATTTCTTACGAGCAAGTGCATCAAACCATAACATTAAATGTAAGGTAAACTTTGATCACCCGTTTTCCTGGTAGTCTACAACTTGAAGATTAAGAGTTAGAGAGGGATAAAAACCAAATTATCTTTCTAACAGAAACACCATCATGCATAACAAACACATATGTGATAACACTTAATTGGAATATAACCTTGTCAATCTGTACTTAGTAAATGATTAAAATTTATATTCTGATGAGGTAGACAAACATAGCATTAAAATGGTCAAAACTTTTTAAACTTATGTATAAAAGAGTTTTCAGTAACTATTTCTTATATTGCAAACCTATTTTGGGGAAACCATTCACTAAGCTACAGAGTATATAACACGCAACATAATTAGATTCAAGGGAATACGTATTTGGATTCTGACCAAAACCATATTCAGAAAACTTCACTAGGGGAAGCTCTTGGTCCATTTGGGAAGTTAGCAGTTTGGCTTATAAACATGCTGAACAAATGGGACAAAGACTGTTTCACTGCTGATGTGGTGACAGGTAAGAAATCCTGGTGAAGTGTCCATTAAACCTGAAATTCAATTCCTAAAACCTGATGGACTAAAATATGAAAATAATAATTTTTAATGAACAAATAAATAAAAGGGGTAAAAGAACTAAAAACCTGTGATGGGAAATTAAAAAAGGCTAAGAACAGATATAATGAATAGAATGATATAAAATAAACATGAAGAACTTAGATTAAAATGAACATTTGCAATAAGAGAAATCTAAAATGGCAATTTGTAAAAAGCCTGGTTAAAAAAGTGAGTTTTGAGCCTCTTCTTAAAAACATCAACTGTCTCTGTGGCCCTGAGGCTCTCTGGCAGGCTGTTCCACAACCGGGGACCATAAAAACTGAACGCCGTCTCCCCGTGTGTTTTTGTTTTGACTTTGGGTAAGGTTAAAAGGCCTGTGCTGGAGGACCTCAGGGTCCGCGAGGGTTGATACTCTTGCAGCACTCTTGCAGCTGAATGTAAGTGTATGTAAGTTCTTCTTTGGGAGGCCAGAGAGCAGGGCATTACAATAATCTAAATGTGAGGAGATAAAAGTATGCATCAGCACCTCCGTGCTGGCCTGAGAGGGAAACGGGCGGACTCTGGCTATATTTTTAAGGTGGTAAAAACCTACCTTTGCTATGTTTTTGATGTGTGAAATAAAACTGAGCTCAGAGTCGAAAACTACGCCCAGGTTTTTTACAGATGTTGATATTTTAAAATCTTGTAGTTTTGGTAAAAGTGTCTCTCTCAGGCCTTCAGGACCAATAACTAAAACCTCTGTTTTGTCCTGGTTGAGCTGCAGGAAGTTGGCTGCCATCCAGGACTTGATGTCTAAAATGAAATTTAAATGGGCATCAATTGGCCCACTATCTTCAGGAGACACGGCCATGTACAGTTGCGTATCAACAGCATAGCTGTGAAAGTTGATGCCGTGCCTCCTGATGATGTCCCCCAGGGGAAGCATGTAAAGATTAAAAAGAGTTGGACCTAAAATTGACCCCTGGGGAACCCCACACATAATTTTATGGGTTCGTGAGGAACATGTATCCATACTTACTAAGAAGTGTCGAGCAGTGAGATAAGAGGTGAACCAGTTAAAAACAGTGCCTGAGTGGCCGACCAGGTGCTTAAGTCTATTTAATAAAATGTGATGGTCTACTGTATCAAAGGCGGCGGTTAGATCCAGCAGGACCAAGATTGTGAGGTTGCAATTATCTAAATTGCACCTGATGTCATTCAAAATTTTTAAAAGGGCTGTCTCAGTCCTGTGGTTCCTCCTAAAACCCGATTGGCACTTCTCTAATGTAGCGATTTGAATTTATAATAAATGTCCGAAGATTAATAATCTCAAGTTATGACATTTATGCACTCGTTGAAAGGGGCACCACCCACCCTTAATGGTGGAAAATAAAGAAAACTAACTTGAGAAATCAAACATCAAGTCAATCTTTAATTAATCAATCTCATATCTTAAGCCGAAATTCTCATTTCAGGGACTCCACTTCTGGAAGAACACTAACAGACAAGAACTTAAAAAAATAATGATCTGTTTATTACAGGATAAATGATGGTACAACATACATGCAAAAAATGATGATACAATAATGAGGATAAATAATAATAGGTGAATAAATAAAGATTCTGAGTCAAGCTAGGAGCACTAAAGTTAATGATAGTGAGTGAATATGCTCTAACATATCAACCTACACTAACTTTGGTGTTAAGATAAATTTGGATGGTGATTTGGAGGGATCTAAGATTACCAGAAAAAGTGGATATCTGAGTTACGACCGCATGAGACAAAAAATAAATAAATTTAACTCTTAACAGTTCATGAAACAGTCTGAAAAGCTGTTGGTCTAAAGAAACTAAAGAATAAAGGATTTATTCTGTCTAATAATCTTATCTAAGTGATAACTCAGCTCCTGGAGCACATAGAAAAACGGGAAACATCTCATTTTAACACAAATTTCATGATTAGACAGATTAGTACATTGCTGAATGCATAAGATGTCATGATCAGTCATTTGTATTCTTTCACCAAAGGAATGGAGTTTTTATCAGAACAGGGTTGAGCAGGGTTTTACGACCGAGGTCTGGAGGTCAGTGTCCTGCTCCTCAGAGCTTATTTTGGGGTCCGTATGTTCACATACTTTAAGACAGTAAATCTCAAATGGGAGATCTGGGTTGAGGCGTTAATGTTTATTTAGATGGTCAGCGATGTAGTCAGTTTGAAAGTTAATAAAAACTCTGTCTCTGTTCTCCGAATTGACCAATCGTGAAGAGTCAGAGGTTTGGTCAACCTCCGTTCGTGTAAGTTAGGTAACGTGAAAGTGCAAACAAGTCTGGAAAGATTTATACCCTGTGTCCTGGGACCAGATACGAAAACTTTCCTGCGAGGAATGTGTGAGTTTCACATACAGTGTTGTCTTGATTGCTACACTAAAATGCTCTTTGAATTTAAAAAAAACATTTACTTGTTGAAGAACAAGTTTTTCCAAGATTTTACTTTAAAATGGTAAGTTGGATACAGGTCGGTAATTGTTAAGAATCTTGGGGTCCAGATTGCTCTACTTCAGAAAGGGCCTCACCAGCGCCGTTTTAAAGGAGGTGAGAAAAACCCATGTCTGAAGAGACCAATTTACAATGTTTAAAAGCTATTCCTCAAAGAATCCATGAAACTGTTTAAAAAAACTTGTGGGAATTGGATCTAAAAGGCAGGTTGTGGGGTTTACTTGGGAGAAAACTCGACCAAGTGTCCTACGCATCAACCAGTGCAAAACGTTCCAGTGTTTCCTCGGGTAAAAGCAGTGATCCAAGTGTGTTGGCAGTTAAAATCTGTTGAGATAAAAGACTGGATCTGATGTTGTTGATTTTACTTCTGAAGTGGTCTGCAAAATCCTCACAGAGGGTGTCAGAGGATGACCCAGGGGTTCTGTTAAAATTATTGTTAGTTAAAAGATCAGTTGTTGTAAAAAGAAATCTGGGGTTATGTTTATTGTCAGCAATTAGTTTTTTGTAGTGGCCTGTTTGTGCTATTGAAGGTTTTGAGGTAGTGTTTACAAGTTTCAAGGTGGACCGTTAATTTTGATTTTCTCCATCTTCTTTCAGCACTCCTGCATTTTTGTTTGAGCTCTTTGATATTCGCGTTTCTCCATGGGGGTCTTGCTTTTTTCTTGATTGTTTTAGTTAAAAGTGGAGCAACTAAGTCCGGTGTTGACCTTAGATTGTTGTTAAAATTGTCAACGATAAAATCACAGGGTGCTGGTAAAATTTGTGGAGAGGTGTTCTGTAGGATGTGAATAAAATTTGCAGCCACTTCAGCAGTTAGGTAGCGTTTTCTCACCGTTCTGACTGGGCTCCCCCTCTGGTTAAAACTGCTGATTTTACAGAACACACAAAAATGGTCAGACACAGCCAGATCCACAACAGAGGGCGCATCGACGGACAGGCCATAGCTTATGACCAAGTCCAGCGCGCGCCCCCTGCTGTGGGTCGGCTGTGTCACATGCTGCTGAAAATCAAAGCACTTTAAAAGATTTAAAAATTCTTTAAACACTGGGTCTGAGGTGTTGTCAATGTGTAAATTAAAATCACCAGTTATTAAAATCCTGTTGTAGGTGGTGTGGATGATTGATAAAAATTTGTAGAATTCACTGATAAAAAGTGGGGGGGTCTGTACAAATTGATGCAGAGGATAGGAGGGCTGCTAAAAACAAAGATGTGATATTCAAATGATGAGTAGCTGCTAAAAGGAACTGCAGAAGGGGACAGTGTGGATCGTATTATTGATGCAGTTCCTCCTCCTTTCTTCCCCTCCCGCGTAGAAAATTTAAAGTTAAAATTTGTGGGGGAAGACTCAGTGAGAACAATATGTGCATTAGTGCCAAGCCATGTCTCAGTAAGAAGGATACAGTTGAGCTGTTTTTCTAAAATTAAATCATTTATGATAAAAGACTTGTTTAAAAGAGAGCACACATTCAGCACAGCAATTTTAATGTCCGTGCCGAATGTGCGCTCAGCCCTTGGTAAAAGGGGGATTTTAAAAACACTGGGGGTCTAAAAACAGTCCTTGGTTTCGATTGTCTGTATGAAATGATGGTTTTGATGGTGTGAGTGTCCTGTTTTTCTATTGAGAGTGGTGGGGGTGTTGCTGTTGAGGTGTGTAAGGTGTGAGGGAGTGCAGGGGGGTGAGGGGTGGGGGGCGTGTGTCTGCATGTGGTGACAGTTTGTCAGGAGGTGGCTGTGGTACAGGAGTGGAGGGTAAGGTCCATATTTACTAATAAAAGCCGCAATCCCTCCCAGTTCGGGTACAGACCATCTCCCTTAAAGAGGTACAGTCTGTTAAAAAACGGTGTAAAATTGTCCACAAATGGGATGCTCCTCCCGAGGCAGTAGCCCTTCAGCCACAGGTGCAGCTGACGAATACGGCTGCTACTTACGTCCCTGTGACGAGGTGATGGTAGCAGGCCTGAGATTACCACGTGCTTGCCGGTGTGCAGCAGGCGATCCACCAGAGAGGAAAAATCCTGTTTGAGGACCTCAGACTGTTGTTTTTTAAGGTTGTTGGTGCCAGCCTGCAGCACCAGCGTGGTGGCCGAGCCATGTTCCTTGCTAAGCTGCAGGGCGGAGGACTCCACCTCCCTAACACCGGGAGGCAGAATGTCCGGCCGCCATGCACCTTCACGTGTCGGACCATGGAGGTCCCGACCACCAGCGCGGAGGGGGCACGTCGGTCCTGGAAGCATGTTACCTGTTGGCTGGTGGTACGGGGGTGGCGGGGAGCTGCAGTAGCGGGCGCTGCTCTTCCACGGAGGTGGCAGGATGGGGCCTGCGGTTTGTGTGGCGCTGTGGCTTGCCCGTCGCGCTCGGCTTTTCCGCCGATCGCGGCCACGGTTGGTCTGGAGCTGGGCCCCCTGGTAGTTACTGCGGCCATAGCTGACTGGGATGTTGGAGAGAGGTCAGGCTGGTCTGGTGGGTGCAGGGCCCGGCCCCCGGGCTGGTGAGCGCCACGTCCAGCTGGATGGACGGAAGGGGACCAGGCACCCATGGGAGGAAAGTCATGCAGGCTCAGGATATCAAATCTGTTCTCCAGCGGCAAGTCCTGAGGTGGAGCAGGAGGAAAGTGAGCAGCGGCACCACTTGCTTTCCACTGTCCAGGGCTCCCTCGACCTGATGGGCATTGATGTCGCCCAAGTTGCTGTTGTGTCCTCCTCGGTGGAGCACCGCAGCTCTGTGGAGCGATGGCAGGAGGTGGAGTGTGCCGATATTTCAGGCCTGGCTCCCCGGAGGTGCCAATGGGAGTTGGCTCGTGCATCCACCAGGGTCCCGGTGGTGACCGAGCCGGTCCATGGCAGGGTGGTGTTATTGGTGGTGCCCGCCAAGCTCCGGTCTTCTGGGCCGTAGACCCTGAGGTGAGCAATGACTTTATTTTGCATGGTAGCCACGCTGGAAAAATCCATCAGTGTCCTATTTTTCTCCTAAAGGTCTTTCCTCAGTCCTGTGATGCTCTCCCTTAATTTAGAGATGGTGGGGAGGCAGCACTCACACACTGCCATCATCGTTAAAAGTTTTAAAATTGACTGCTCGCTAGTGTGATGGACCACATGGTTTTCGGGTTTTCCCACTGAATTTTGGCGATCAACAAGCTCGATGGCTAAACACTAGTGCTATGTTTTAAAAAAGGAGCTGAATAAAAGCTGGGGGTGGGTGGTTGGTGTCTAAAAGGGAGTTAAAGTAGTTAAAATATTTAAAACAAGCGATTTTAGTCGGAGCTGAGACAGTCTGTGCCGTCAAACCCGGAATCATTTGCAGTTATTCTCTTTATTCTGCACCTAAAGAGAGTCACAGGAGAAATTGCCACTCTGAGGATTTATGGCTGTGGTCTCTTTCACAGATGAATGCTTTTGATGCACCCTTAAAGTTGAGTTCCCATGATCTTCCAAGGTACCTTTAAGGTTAAGGTGTCAAATTTGAGAGTCTCCAGCCAACAGCAGCGGGGTGAATGTTTATCCCGTCCAGGGGTCCTGCAGGAAATTAGCAACTTTGTCTCTTTTTGAAATGCAAAAGACTGACTGTCTGTCTTTTGGGAGATCTTGGTTAATTTCCCACAGATAGGTGGTTGTAAAAAGACCATGGTTTACCCCCCCATCTCCTTTCAGTGACCCGAGTCACTGCATTCCTTTGGGGTGAATTAAAGATGAAAAAGCAGAAACCAGTCGTCTCCTACACAGCTGATTTATGTTGGGTAAACTGGGCCAACCACAGCTAATTCCAGTCTGGCTTGGACTCAGTGGCAGAGGTTAACCAGATGCCACATGACCAGAAGGCCTGGATTCTGGCTGCAGAGACATCACAGATGATGATTGCCAAGGGTGGATCTGTCATACCAAGCGATTTTATCCCAGGTGCATCACCTTGGATAATATCAGATGCAATGTTGATTGTAACAAGGGACCTAACCTTGAAGATCGCAGAGATTAGATACAGTAATGGTCAGACACAGCCAGATCCATTTATTATTATTATTATATATATATATATTTTTTTTAATCTGGGCTTTTTGCTGTTATTTTTATTTATTTATTTATTTATTCATGTTCAGAATGCTTTAGTGTGTTTCATGGATATTTTGTTCACTGTAAGCAATACTGTTAAACTTTTCTGTTCTCTTATATTGCCAACAGTATTTCTATTGTACCTCCTATACGAAACAGTAAAGGAAAAATACTAATTTGTTTTTTTCTGGATTGCTTTTGAAAGTGAACATTACATGTGGACATACAGCTCCCAACCAAGAAATTCAGTGTAAAAATGGTGGATTGCATGTGCAAAACTAAAACATAACAGTCTACGCAGTTTTTGTAATGTCAGCAATAGCCAGAATTTTGAAACCTGGTGTACTTTAATTGACTGCATGTACCTTGTGAAATGAAAACAAGTGTTATTCCTTGACAAATTAATTTAATTCTGAGTCAGATTTCCAGTGTTTTGGTAAAGTTAGTCTGTACAGAGAAATGTGTGTTCTATTTTAAAATAAAGAGTTTAACAAGTTTAGTTAAACATATTTAACAAAATGTGTTTTTGAGCTGAAAAATATCCATTTGGCCAGTTGTGTTTGGTAGGTGTGAGTCTGTGTTAAGAGTTTAGAAAAAGTTTCTGAAGTATGGGTAAGCACTTGTTAGTGATTGAAAAAAACTGTAAATTATAATGAATATATATGTTTATTCAGCTTTCAGCATGATCACAGATGTTTAAAAAAGACAGATGCCATTAAAAACACTGAATTATTTTGCTGATTACAAAAAATAAAACTTCAAATATAAAATGCAGCTTAAGAAGCAACAACCTAAAAACTTAAAAAGCTAAACACCATTCTCATTTAACAGCCTGCACATATATGGGATTGGTGATTTCTTATATCTCTCAGTTCGGCATGTTGGGGTGTCCAGGTCATCTCCATTCCGTGTTTGTCGTCCAGAGATCTCTTTCCTAAGTGGGGGTAGCCAGTTTCTGAAGTTGGACTTGAACAGCTTTCTGGCAAAATCAAGACATAGTTAATGAAGAAAGTTAATGTCCTTTTTTATCCCCAGAGAGACAGAGAGATTTGACTTTGTGGAGGAGCAGCTGTCCAGCTGTTCTTTATGTCAGGACATCCTGAAGGATCCAGTCTCTACCCGCTGTGGACACTGGTTCTGCAGACAGTGTCTTGCCTCATACAGGGACCAGTCTACTTTATTAGGAGACGCCTTCTGTCCCCAGTGTGGAAAAAGAACCAGAACAGTACCCCTCTTTCAGACAGACAGTCAGTCCAGCTCTGATAGAAGTAAGTTGAACATCTGTCCTTTAAAGTCTCTGTTGGTGAAAACAAAGCTTGCTGTTTTATCAGAAAGACGTTTTTGAGTTGAGCAGTTTGGTTCATTTTATTTTTCTTCTCTTTCAGAAGACTGCAGTCTGCAGGAGGTTTTAGATGAACATAGGATCGGTCTGAAGAGGAGATGTGAACGTGTAAATGAAGGAAGTGATGAAGCAGGAAGTCAAACTCTCCTCAACAGGATCTACACTGAGCTCTACATCACAGAGGGAATGAGTGAAGAGGTAAACACACAACATGAGGTGAGACAGCTGGAGACCACTTCAAAGATGGAGACCCTCCATGACACACCCATCAAGTGCCATGAAATCTTTACAGTCTTATCAGGTCAACAGGAAGTCATCAGAGTGGTTCTGACCAATGGCGTGGCTGGTGTTGGAAAAACCTTCTCAGTGCAGAAGTTCACTCTGGATTGGGCAGAGGGCTTGGAAAACCAAGACCTCAATCTAGTGGTTCTGCTTTCATTCAGGGAGCTGCACTTGATCAGAGATGAGCACTACAGTCTTCTGAGTCTGCTCCATGTTTTCCATCCAACACTACAGAAGGTCACAGCAGAGACGCTGGCCGTCTGTAAACTCCTGTTCATTTTTGACGGTCTGGATGAAAGCAGACTGTCTCTGGATTTCATAGACTCTGAGGTTGTGTCTGATGTCACACAGAAGTCTTCACTTAACGTTCTGTTAACAAACCTCATCAAGGGGAATCTGCTCCCCTCAGCTCTCATCTGGATAACTTCTCGACCTGCAGCAGCCAATCAAATCCCTCTTTCATGTGTGGACAGGGTAACAGAAATACGAGGCTTTACTGATGCCCAAAAGGAGGAGTACTTGAGGAAGAGGTTCAGAGATGAAGATCTGTCCAGAAGAATCATCTCACACATCAAGTCCTCTAGGAGCCTCCACATCATGTGTCAGATCCCGGTCTTCTGCTGGATCACTGCTACAGTTCTGGAGGACATGATGAGCACAGAGCTGAGAGGAGAGCTGCCCAAGACCCTGACTGACATGTACTCACACTTCCTGCGGATCCAAACAAAGAGGGCGAAGCTGAAGTATGAAAGGGGGCATGAGACAAGTCCTCAGGAGCTGACTAAGGCTGACAGGGAAGTTCTCCTGAAGCTGGGGAGGCTGGCCTTTGAACATCTGGAGAAAGGAAACATTATGTTCTACCAAGAAGACCTGGAGCAGTGTGGTCTGAATGTCTCAGAGGCCTCGGTGTACTCAGGAGTTTGTACAGAGATCTTCAGAAGAGAGAGTGTGATCTTCCAGAAAACAGTTTACTGTTTCATTCATCTGAGCGTTCAGGAGTTTCTGGCTGCAGTCTACATGATCCACAGTTTCACAAACAGGAACACAGAAGTTCTGGAGGCTTTCCTAAAAGAACACCAGTACACTGACCCAAAACCAAAGTCTATTCATGAACAGTTTTTAACTTCTTTTGGTGTCACTTTGACCCATGGTTCATCTCTAGTTTTTGTCCTAAAGAGTGTCATTGAGAAATCCCTTGTCAGTCAAAATGGCCACTTGGACCTGTTTGTTCGCTTCCTTCATGGACTCTCTCTGGAGTCAAACCAGAGACTCTTAGGAGGTCTGGTGGGTCACACAGACAACAGTCCAGAAATGATCCAAAGAGTCATCAACAACCTGAAGGAGTTGAACAGTAATGATATCTCTCCTGACAGAAACATCAACATCTTCCACTGTCTGATAGAGATGAATGATCTGTCAGTTCATCAGGAGATCCAAGAGTTCCTGAAGTCAGAGAAAAGATCAGAGAAGAAACTCTCAGAGATCCACTGCTCTGCTCTGGCCTACATACTGCAGATTTCTGAAGAGGTTCTGGATGAGTTGGACTTAAAGAAGTATAACACATCAGACCAGGGACGACTAAGATTAATCCCAGCTGTGAGAAACTGCAGAAAGGCTCAGTAAGTCCATGTTTTATTTTCAGAATAGTGTACATGAGCCCTGTAGTTCTTCCAATGTCCAAGTTACAAATGATGTTCTTCTTCAAACAGAAATCTACTAAAATATCAGGAAGGGAGTTTCTTTAGGTTTGGCAACAATATGATCATGTGAAAAGTCCTATTAGCACTGGATGAGGTCTACCTGTGGAACCCTGAGAACTTTTAATAATTGTGAAGGACCTCTATTGTATCAAAGGACACACAGAGGTCTTCTGATGATATCAATCAGGGTGATATCAGCCCATACATTGATTCTTCAATGCATCGCGATGTGACACATAACGATCTATTACAATAAACAAATGTTCAAAAATCAATTGTTTCCCATGATAGCAAAACTACAGAAACAACCAGAAGTTGGCTGGAATGAAAAAGGCCACCCGGACAGTTTTATGGGACAAACTCATAACAGAGTGTTAGCCAACATAGTGGCAGCTAACTCGCTGGCCACTGTCACTGAGTATGAGGTTCACGCTTTGAAATCCAGCCGGTGACAGCATTTCATGTGGATGCTTGAATTCATTCTGTTCTCATTCTATTCACCCCCCTCTTATTTAGATTTACAGCTGCTTTTGATCGTGGATAGCAAAATGTTGGATTGTTGTGGGATGCTTTGCTGCTCA